TTTATCGGAATCTTTTTTAAATCAACTTGCACATCGGACTTAATGAACATTTTTAGTGGAGGCCCAAGCTTTGTAACACCGATGGTTCCAATTGTTGGGTGCGACTGAATATAAATGAGTAAGGAGGGGAGTGATGACGGTGTGGAATCTTGACCGGTATGTTTTTCCATGCACTTCTCAATCCTTCCAGGACAGGACCACTGCTTGACAGAGGTCGATATCTGAATATAAATTGCTACTTGAATCGTTCCTCCCATTTGCTTCTTATCCCTGATTTGGTCCAGAACCCTCACGAGATCATTGTGTGGTTGGTCTTGCTGTATGATTTCATCGATTACAGATAATGTTGACAGCGATGCACTTGTTGTTTGAACACAAGTTTCGGCAAACTTTTTTGGCCATTCTGACACCTTAATATTTCCCGTTCTCATGCATATTTATTTTTGATTACATTCGGCCAAATGGTATTTCATACCTCTTTCTTTCTTAGTGAACTTATGACTCTGAATCGAATTCTAAACTAATGTTTCTCCACTGGCTTCTACAGTGTACTGGAATTTGCTAGTCGGCCGATTGTCGAGCGAAAACGCGGCTTTCGTAGAAACGCCATTCCTTCCAACACCTCCCTTCTCAATTGTCCAACTTTGCATGTTTCTCTTGTCTAATATAATATAATGCAGAGAAAGGTTTTAAAATTAGGTTCCCTCCGGCTTATTTCTTGTTACCATTTCACCTTTTGTTATCCTGACATGCTATTTTACTTCTATCTCCTTCCCACTTCAAAGACTTCGTTAAAAAGGATTCTGCAAAGTGTTCTCTGTGCATCCACCCTTACAATGAACTTCAATTCCGCTCAACTAAAGTGCATCCTTAATGTATTAGCGTGGAAATAATGTGTAATGATCTAAATTTTTCCGATACCGCCTCTATAACATTCCTTTTTGCCATCCTCGATTGCGCCCGGTTTCCTCTTCTATCAACAGCTACAGTATCGATGTCATTTAAAATGTATTTCTATTCGAAAGGTACAAGTATGAAAAAAGTTTGCTGCTCTCTTGATTTATGAAACGTTTCGCTGTAGATGGTCTCCGATTATACTGCAGCGAGTGCTTTCAAGAGTAGTAAAGTGATGATGATATTGCCAGCACAACTGAGGAAGACGGCTGTAGCCGTGGTTACGACTGCGATTTCCTCATGAAAAAAGCTAGATATCGTCAGATGCCGTGATGCTTCGTGTTACTCATCATATCATCTCTTTTGTTTTTTAAAAACCCCTTTGTAGTCACCCGAGTTTCTCAGAATTTTTTTCAACAGTTGTTTTTGCTTGCTTGAAGTTTCATTTATATTGTTCTCTTCTGTTTTCCGCGCCTTGAAAAGATCCATCCCTTTTCAGTGACATTTCTGGTCTTAATAGGCAATTCTCGGTCATTACCTATTTTACAATGAAAAAAAACCTTGTACCTCAGCGTTTTTGTTCTTAGCCGGAGGTTCAGTTCAATTTTCTGATGAGTTCCGCATGTTGGATCCTTTTATTTATTTATTTATTGGGGACATAGACAGTAGTCTGCGTGGACTGTGTATTAGGAGTTGACCTTTTGAGGAACTTTAGAAAAGGTTTAATCTTTGTAGGTGAAAAAGAAGAGCATTTCTCTCAACAGAAGTAAATAAGGGAAGCCCCTGATTTTTCAGCGTCTCCATTTATCATAACGTCAATTATGCATGATTATACGGAAATAATCATCTGAAGGCTTTCATCAGAGGATCACGTACGTGATGTTTGTCACTTGTCACTGCCATTAGGCATCGTTATCTCAGCATGCATCACAAAGTGGTTTGCGTGTTCATAAATTCCACAACGTTGCTAACGAACCTTCCCACTACTATACGATTACACTATCCCCTTAAATCCTTCGTTTACACATGTTTCTTACTGTAATTTGGTGTTTACTAAAAGGCTTTCATTTCCCAGGACTCGGGTCAGGTTTGTTTTAATAACGAAGTCAGCTGTCTTGCAATCATTTTCAGCTACATTATTTCAAGTGAAATGCTGTCTTGCTTAGCATAATCAGAAAGTCATGGCGAATCTCAGCACTGTTGCCACTTATGTAAAAGTATTAACGAAAAAACCATCGAAGGACAGCTAAATTCCTATAGAACACAGCTCAAGACCTATGTGATAAGGTCATGTGCTCTTACTCTAATGAAAGTTTTCACAGTACAGGATTAAAGTGCTGTTCGCAAAGAGCGTTGCAACGCATCACAGGCATGAGTGTCCATGCTGGCGACACTTTATGCTCCTTGCTTGGGTTTCTTTTGCTCGTTTTCTGCGAGCTCACTGAAATTCGTGCTGAATGAAAGAAGGCGCGGACAACTCCTATTGTCTGAGAGGCTCAAATCGTAGGATCACAAACTTCAGCAACCTACTCAGTACTCATGTATTCCTTCCACTGAATCAGTTATCCTGAATCGAAATGAATAGTAATTCCTTTTGGAACTAATAATAGATCTCTTCGATCCTGAACATTGGTCGGACATGAGGCGAGCTCATACTCGCCGTCCTTCGTTCATCTAGCTAATGCTCACCTATGCAGGGTATAAGCCGATAATGTTAATACGGGTGAGGCGAGGGCTATGTTATCGACCGCCATCCACACCTGTGTGTCAGCCTGTGACGACTTGCCTGGTTCGGACGAGATCCCCTGTTCTCTGGTCTTAGTCAAACCGGTCAGAGTTGGACTATGTCTTTTTGTCTTCTTTATTTACCAGTTTTCACATCGTTACGTCAAAAAAACTTTTGAATTAAGGTCCGTAATAATTTACGACCTCAGCAAGGTCTCATACTAAGAGTGAGAAAAATCTGGTCTGAGTTTCAAAATGCCATGTTCGCGACAAGCCATTTTTTTATTTCCACCATTTTGCATTCTCGAGAAAAGAAAAAGGAAGAATTACGTGCGGTTGTGTTCAGTGTGTTGTGAGCCCCAATTTCAGGGCTCCCCTTTGAATAGTTCATTTATCGTTTGCATTAACCATCGGAAGACCCTAATTGCTCCTCGCTTAGTGTCTCAAGCAGATTCTGGGCCCTTCCAACATTCATGCAACTTTAAGATCTACAAAGACTTTTCTGCCATTTTAAAACCTTATTCATAGCATATTTGCCATTTTTAGACACAAATTGTACCAATTTTGGAAAATGAATAAGAAATTGATTATCATTCTGAAATTTGGCGAAATTTCTTGACGCATCTCAATAAGACTGAGAGAAAAATTGTCTATATATATCAATACCAGCACTGTGAAATGTAGATTGCTGTATTGAGAACCTAAGGAAATAAGTAGCGGTGGGGCTCTCATTATACTGCGCTTTTCCATTGCTTACCTCGAAATCTGAGCCTGAGTGTGGGTTCAGTCCCTTCAAGTTTTTTTTGGCCGATACGATTATTGAGAAGTTTCTTCATCGGTTCGGTCTTTTTTTGGTTTCTTTAATTAGGCTGCTATGAGCCATCTTGCGGTTATTGCCAGGTTTATTTATTTATTGATTTATTTAAATTGCACTCTTGCTGCAGGTTTACTACCAGTAGAAGAACATATTGTTATTATTATTAACTTAGATAAAATCAAGTGGGCCTGTTGGGGGAAGAGACTGACAGTCGGTGAAGCTCGTCAACGGAGTCTAAGGGTGAAGTTATAGAGAGCCAAANCAGGTTTATTTATTTATTGATTTATTTAAATTGCACTCTTGCTGCAGGTTTACTACCAGTAGAAGAACATATTGTTATTATTATTAACTTAGATGAAATCAAGTGGGCCTGAAGAGACTGACAGTCGGTGAAGCTCGTCAACGGAGTCTAAGGGTGAAGTTATAGAGAGCCAAAAGTTTCTCTGTAATACCAGTTTCCGCCTCTTCGCTCTCAACGTTGGCATTTTGTTTTGGCAGCTCACTTAACTAGTTTGTTAAAGCGCGAAAGTTTGTTGTTACAGCTGCTTGAAAGCAGCTCTATTGCCTTATGAAGAACGTTACCCTAACTTCCTGTCATTGCTCCAAATGCTTTGAAAATATTTCGAGTCGCCTCATCTAATGAAAACGCATCTTCCATCTGAATATGATAAAATCATCAAGTTATCTATCTGAATATGATAAAATCATCAAGTTATCTAAAGTTCAGATCTTGAAATGTGTCACCGCCCATTGACGGGGGTGGATCGGAATGCAAGTATGTAGTGTATAGAAAACAAGGAAGAATGTTTTCTGATCAAATTCCAAGACTTTGAGTAAATAGCAAACTACATTACTTAATCGATCTCCTCTCACTGTACCTTCACTCGCGACGTAAGTCTGCACTTACGGGACTGCAGATTAGGTGAATATTGTGTCATGTCCAATGGAAACGATCCTAGGAACCTTTAGTGATTAGCATCCTTCAGATACGATAGAATTCTGAATTCCTTCGAAGATCCTTTTGACCGACATTCGTAAATATTGTTGACGCTTGCTTTGCTGTGTTTGCATATTTTTCTGTCCGAATTGAGCAGCATTCTACAACTCAGCGATGATGCCTTCTTCCAATCTTTGCCATTTTCTACCTGATCTGATTGAATGGCAATGGGATGGCTCGCCAAACAGCCGTCCACCATTAACTTTCATGTTGAAATCGTACCGAGTCCTATTAAAGTACTCCTCGAAATGGGTGATTGTTTCTAGTTCAAGCTTTTTGGGAGCAAGATGGGTAGTTTACATTGTCGTGATCCAGTTTAACTAGTAAGCCCTTCGCCTTACACTACAGCTGCTTACTCGATCAAGTGAATTAATCAGAAAAAGGTTTGCTAACGAAAACGAGAGTGAAAGGATGAGGTTCGAGCTTGGAATACTCACAATCAGATCAAATGCACCTCCCCAATTGTCGTTGCTTGAGCATTTTTTTCGAATTAAATTGTTGTTCTCTTTAGTTCAGCTGCCTGAAAGACTATAACTAGAAGCCTGGCAATTTGGTACAATTTCAGTGATGGTCCGGGGTGTAGTGACTATGGAGCGAGTGGAGTCGTTCACAGCGGCTCATCGTCTTCATTCGAACCAACTAAGTGCTGAAGAGAACGTAGCAACATATGGAAAATGCAACAACCCAAACGGACACGGGCATAATTACGTGTGGAAGGTACGTAGAGATCACCAGTGGGATTTGGAATTCAGGATTAAGGATTAGTGGGGTTCTAGGATTTAGCATTAGGGATCCAACTAATTGATAGCATTCAGGTTAAACTTCGCGGGATTCCTGATCCCGTAACAGGAATGTTGTATGATTTGGCTCAGTTGAAAAAAGACATGCAAGTGGTACTGGACACTGTTGATCATAAAAACCTCGATAAAGATGTTGAATGGTTTCAGGTTAGTTCACTTCCTTCATCGTCCAACCATATATAACTCTCTAGATGTGTCTTTTAGTTCGTCGGTGTGTGTGTGTTTGTGTGTGTGGTGTTTGACCAGAAATCCATACCTCTTGTTCCTTCAGACCTAGGTCGAAGATGGTAACAGTATAGGCGGGATGACTGTACTCCGCCCACAGGGGACGAGACCTGCGTGAAAATGAGCGTGTGACGCGAAATTTCTATCAAGAGTTCCCCCAGACTGAGAGCGTTCAAATTCGTAATTTAATGGAGGGTGAAAAAAAAGAAATTTGGTGGGAATACAAATCACAGTATGGGAACACTCATAGTAGAAGGCAGATCAAGGGCGAACTGTGCACAACGTGAGCGTACTCTGAGGAAAACTCAGATCGGTTGTCGGCCAAGTTGAAACAATGAGGAATGAAACGATTCACTGAGAGACACAAGACTTGAGCAGAGCTCTGCTCATGAAGAGCCTGAGTCGTAATTGACGTTACGCTTTTTCCCTGAGATCGTGCTTTGTGGAAATGATAAAGTAAAAATCAGAATAGAGAGATGAACGGAGTTTGTCCCTACTTCCTATGACGTTATTGTGATTCCCTTTTCTGAGAGGTAAATAAAAATAAGATGATCTGAAAATAGTGTTTTCATCCGTTACTGCGAGCCTCATTATCGATACAGTGGTTTTTCTTTAAAGGCACAGTTCACGATAAAAATGGTTTCTGGCATTTTCTTATAGTATGAATCAAAAGCTCCCCCCTATACCATACCTCTCGTTATAAGATCGAAAAACGTCATGGGTAGGGCACATAAGGGGCCAGAGATTGTATCGTGTGAATGCCACCCCAATCATGTATGAGTTTTAACGGCTTTGTCGAGGCTGCACTATCTCAATAGACTCTCATGTAGGAAGTTCAAACAACCTGTCGTAATCCATGGCGACAGTGAAACACAGTTTCGGACAATTTCGGCTTGATGTGATCATCTCTTTGCGTAATGAGCGCAAGTTAAAACTGTCCAAATACCCTTAAATGCCACTTCCGACATGGTGATCTCGTACAACCTCCACTATCCACTACTTCTAAGGTAGGCGGTTTTCCTCGCTCTCTTCGCCACCGATGTACTCCTCTACGTCAACACTTCCATTTTTCCTCCTAAAGAGGTGCCTCAAAATCATCGTGAACTGTGCCCTTAATCTTAGACGTTTTGTCACATTTCTACACCCGCGTGGCTATACGTAAGCCTTTCAAACTTCAACTCTTTCAATTCTAACCTTGTACATAACTTAAACGATTATAACCTATCTAGGCTTTACGCCCATTCTTATCAGCCAAATTCTTGCACAGGGACAAGGGATAAAACGATCAGCGTTGAACTTGTTCTGGTGTGCGCCATGAATTCGGCTTCATTATGAGATCGCAAGGTTACTGTCACAGAGCTCCATCACCACGAGATGAAAGGGTTTCAAATCAAGTTATGCACGAGTTTTGAAAGGCTTGACAGCCTCAACATAATCCGAAGAGCTAGTAGTCATTAGTCAACCCCCACTCAGGAACGAATCTATAAAAGGCTTCTTTTTTCTTTCAAGACATGTCGGATTTCAGCACAATGTGAGCACATCAGAAAACGTGGCCATCTATCTATGGGAGAAGCTTCGCGTACAAATGAAAACGCCAAAGATGCTTTACAAAGTGACTGTTGAAGAGACACCAAAGAATATCTTCACCTACAAAGGCGAAATCTAAAGACGATGAGATGTGTTGATTATTGTGATTCGTGCATCATATCATATGCTGTTTCATTTGTTGTAATTATTAATTTCTTTGCAAAATAAGATTTTTCTTGAAATGGGTCATCATTGAAGTGTATGGAAGCCTGAGAGGGTTTCTCCAAAAAAAGTACCTTGCATATTTTCCATATAACTAGAACAGATTGAGAAGTTCATGAAATATCGTGCATTAATGATCAATTGTTACTTATGTCTGCCACTATTTTTTTCTTTCACATCTACCAAAGAGCGGTGGGAAGCAAGTCTCTTGTTCCTTCTTCACCGCGGTGCATTCACCCGTTCGCCATTCGCCATAACGGGTCTCTAGCTTGGATTCTGTCGAAGTTCATTTTATCGCTTTAGACAAGACACACAATATAAGAGTCGTGTTCTTGCAAACATCAGCCCTCTTTTGATTATGACGGTTAAGTTTCCGAAAGAATGTAGCAACTTTTGAGCATCTCATATTTCATTCTTTTGTCCGCTACAGTCACTTCTTATTACCTGATTTAAAGGAGTATACTCAAGCTCATCTGGAATTTCCATTTTATATGCATTTCCACATTCCCAATTCATATTTCATTTTCATAATTCTCCACTCTGAGTGAGTGGCCCACCTAAAAAGCACGACTTGGGTGCAAAGAGGAGTGAGATTGGTAGTCAATTGTACTTACAGCAGTTTTTGTCTTTTAAAACTCTAAACAAATGTTGAAAATGAGTTGTGAGGAAGCTTATTTATCTTCCGCTCTTGATCGCCTTCACGTAGTCATAGATTAACATCCCGACCATGCCCCTTTTCATCATGTTTCGTGAGATCGCTGTATAAGTAGCTTCTCTGACTGATCGGACGGCATTTTTTTGATAGGCCTCCATGCAGTTAAAGGACAACAGCAAAAGAAAGGAGGATAAAAGAGCCCAAAGCACAAATCCAACTGGAATGGACTGCTGCCCGGACATATCGTTTTATCTCCATAACCCTTATAGTGGGAGAAGAGGTATGAACTCTTTCGTCAACAATCCGAAAACTTTATGCAGTACGTTGATATTGTCATTCCGATGATATTCTGGCATGGCATCACATTTAATCATTCTGTTCAGACATAACTTTGTTGACACATTCCCAAGCCTGTTTTCTTTGTGCGGGTTCCATTCGCCGCAAATGTCGTGACCGCGCAATGAAAAAAGAAATCCATAGGAGTAGCAGTGTTTCACTGTCTCCAAGTAAAATATTGGAAGTTAGACTCCAATATTGCATCAAAAGTGGTCGGCTTCTTTCAGAAGCACCACGTCCTATCGAGCTACCGAAAAGTAGCTACGGTTTCTACCTGCCAAGGAATCAAGCGTAGCAGCGTGGCGCTTGCTGGGGTCTCCACTCTCCCTGTATTCGAACCTATTGCTGAAAAACTTTTTATAGTTATAAAAGAGGAATTAGCGGATTCTCACTACCCAGCTATGGAATGCTCGTTGGTAAATCACTCCTATAATGGGTGGAATCGCAGTGGCTGACTAAATTTGCTTGCATTGGATCTCGCATCCAGCGCTGGTCAGGTGCGGATCGAAGCGGTTGATGTTTTGTCAGCCGGCCTTGATCGCTTCGGGTTTGGATCGGACTACTGGACATGCTCTATATTATGCACACCAATCTGGTCATTCTGCTTAGCATATTTCCTCAAATAAGTGGACAACTGGGTGAGATCCCATTTGCATCAGTTAATCTTTATCCTTTTTGAAGTTATGGGATAGAAAATGAAGTGAAATGAGATTGAGGCGAAACGAAGTATTAATATTTAATAAGTAAACATAGATGTTTATGATTAAAATGCTTCTGTGCCGTACGAGGTTGTTAGGTGGAACAAAATTATTTAGTCAACGGCCTAACGTTTCGACGCAATCGTCTTCTTCAGAGGCCTAAATGCAACTCGAGATGATTTGCACACTATCCAAGAAGCGCGATATCTTCCCTGGCAAAATCGACGACAAATTCAAAACCCATGATTTGAAGCATGACTCACCAGGGTTCCACCGCTTGAGCGGAAAGAAATCCGCTGTCGCCACAGGCGACTGTCAGTAGCGAATGAGACTTTCTTGCTGTCTCCCTTATACTTGTGATAAGGAAGATCACGTCATAATGCTACTGAGTCATAAGTCGCAGTGCGGTATGTA